CCCCAAAACCCCAAAACCCCAAAACCCCAAAACCCCTAAAAATCCTTTAAGTTTTGACATAGCCTAATAATTATAATATTAAAGTAAAAATGAATTTAAATTTGTGATTAGAACAACCCAATGGGATTTTTTGGAATGGACAAGAATGCAATGAAGGTTTTGAACAGTAAGTAAATGTTGTGCTTGACTTATTTTTGTTTAGAAAAAGTCTTTTTTGATGGGATGATGAAGATTGGTGGAATAAAAATCAGACATTTAAGCATATGCATCCGCTGAACTGTATTACTCAAAAGTTGAGAGAATTTGAGGAGAAGGATGATTATAAGGCTGTTACTTATCAGCCTTGGCACACCATAGAGAAATTTCATCGATCAGAGATTAATTCTGATATAAATTTCCCCAATCTAATCAAAGATCTTTGTCCTTCTTACTTATTAAACAAGCAAAAATTTTCTCACAGTTCTAATTTATCGGAAATGTTTCCGAATTCTGATCCAGATGGAATTCTATTGAATCCAAAAATAGGAAACTCCGAAAATTCAGAAAATGATTCCCAAAATGACTTATTTGGCGCTCAATATCCCCCAAACATGACTAACTCTACTAAAGCTTTAGAGAGTAGGTTAAAACCTTCTTCGCTTGTGAACCTCCAAAGAGCAACCATGGGTTCACCTACAATTCCTGAGAACAAAATCTTACAGAATAATTTTGACTCCCTTTCAGTCTCAGAAACTCACAAATTCCAGAATGAAGAGTCTCAGGATAGCTTGGAAGAAGAAAAATTATCCACTAACTCTGGATATAAGGAATTAGAGACTTCATTAGAAGAAGAAATCACCCAATTTTATTCCAAGATGAAGCTATTCTCTCGTCTTTTTGATATAAGGAATGAAGATAAAATTCTGCAAACCTTCAAGGATATTGTCCAGAAGAAAAAGCAACCAATGATGAAGGCCTATATTGATTATCAATTAAAAAAGAAACAAAAACAGACTGTTGGAAGGGATCAGATGGTGGCCACGAGGAAAGAGAATGAAGAAAAGAAAGAGAAGAAAGAACAGAAAAATAAGGACATAAAAACAAAAGATCCCAAGCAATTTAAAAGAAATAGAATAGATAATAAATTCACATCAAAAATAAAGTTAATAAAACGAGTGATGAACGACTTGATTAATTTGGAAGGGTTTTACCCTCATATTTAGTCCATACCGAGGGAATGGACTCAAAGCCCATGCACAAGCATTTCTGTATGGATTTATACCATTGTTTTATCCTTTCGGAGAGCCTGAAGAATCTATTTCTGAGGATCATAGGAAAATCAGAGATAAATTGAAGAAGACATCACCTTTTATTTTATTTTCACATTGACTCACATTGAGAAGTCAGTCAAAGCCAAAAGAACTGTTAATAAAGCAATTAAAAGGAAAACTAGGAGATGATATTGAGCTACCTTCAGAGAAGGAGCTGGATGAACTAATAAAACTTGCGAACTCTAGCACATCAAAGAAGACGTTCAAAAACCTATGTGAGAAGAATGTAGTGGCTGCATTTTTAGAGAAGGAACTATTCGAAGCACAACCAGGCCGCTTGGCAGAAGTAATTGGGGACGGTCGCTCTATTTTATAAGTATATGGTCCGATATTTGTCGAGCATATATGGAAATTAGAGAAGCCATCCTTTATTCACCTTCTGTTCATTTGGAGGTTGGGCTAATTAAAGATTTAATTTTTGCATTCTATAATAATGGAGATGCCGGGGTTTTGGGGTTTTGGGGTTTTGGGGTTTTGGGG